GTTCCAATTTTCCAATCAGTCGTATCCAAACCACTGAAAGGTATTCAAAACGATTATTCTATATCAGCTGTACCAATTATCACAAAGCCTGGCTGATCTGACTTTTGCCCAAATATTTAATTTGCCGTGTTGTAATAGTAATTTACTGCTTTGTTTTCCTGTATTTACCGTAAACAAACTCTGACCGCCAATCGATAACCACTTGAAATGCATTTTCCTCATTTTCATTTCAGTGACGAGCCAACGACGACATCGACGACGAGGACGACGATGGCGTCACCATTGATCGATTCGTCTATACATGCGATTCAACTAAATCGAATGGCTCAGGCAAAGTGAGTGTTCAGATAGGGAGTAGGCGAATTTAAAGAATTAGTAAATCGATATTCCTCCTGGAATTTCCATCTTCTGGATAGGCAATAACGCCACTGAAGATATTGGCTGTCGAATGTCAAACTCATAAGTGAAGAGAGAAGAGTTGAAGGGGCTAAGTGGGAGTACAAGGTTTCAGGGTTCAGGGAGAGGACTGGTTTAATAAAGCTCCAACAAAGCCAATAAAGGTATTAAGTGAAATGTAAAATGTAATTGATTCAGAAGAGCAGTTAAAATTGAGAAAGCCACCTATGCTTGAGCTACTGTGTGTAATTTTAAACATCCCTGAATAATCATTCTTACGGTAGGACTAGATACGAATCAAATGATACGATCGATAATCGATCCAAATTGATTTTATGGTGGAAACCTATGTTCTGCTTTTATTTTTTTATTCATATTTTGAGTGATCGGCGAATAGACACGTCTAAGAAATAAATGAATGAGCACGTGGATAAATAGGTAAGTGGATAGATGAATGAATAAATAAATAAAAAAATTAATTAATTAATTAATAAGTAAATGAGCACTAAAACAAATTAAACATAAATAACTGAGTAAGTAAGTAAATGAGTAGCAAATAAATCATCAACTATAGATGATTGGTTCTCTTGTTTGATTTTATCTTATGCGTATAACTAAATAATCAATATTACTTGGGTAGACTCCGCTTCATTCTGACTTCAAAGGTGTTGCTAATGAACCATAATAGGTTTTTATCAAATTTTATCAATTAATTAAAATTTATCAATTTTATCAAGCAGAGGTCAACGTTTTTCGAAGTTCGAGGTGGTCAATCAATAGTTCGAACTACAATGTTCCTACAAATTTGGCCAACTCTGAAAAGCGGTTGAGCACTGGAAAAAACTTAACGATTTCTTACTTAATATTAGTATTCCCAGCTACCGTAGTCCTCTTGATAGATCAGTAACTAATCCGTAAACCTGTGCATGACAAACACTTCATCAGCTCTTCTTTAAATTGCCGCCTATCGATTTCAAGTGCGGGAGGATTACGGTAAGTGGGTGTGGAATCATGCGCAGGTGTGGCATTCACACATCACAATAGGATGAATAGCAGAGAGGAGTTGCGTCAGTTCGATCGAGAATGCTACGTCTTCAGTGGCGTTCAGAAGCACCAGTAGATTATTATCGTTCCCGGTTCTTTAGAAGGGACGAATAGTTTTGGCTCATGGGGTGGTTTCTAACGTTACTTACTTCTTCAACTTAGAATCCGACTAGCTGCATGAAAAACCAGGTTGTTGAGAGGAAGAGCGGAGAGGAGTATTCAGTTCGAAATCTTACTTTAGTGCAGATCTAGCTGAGGTGCTACTAAGCTAGTGGTAATCTTCTTTTAAGTAAGGTACTTGGAAGTTGTTAACCAAACTGCTATATTTTCTTGCTCCCCATGGTCCGCTCTCACATAAGGATCAAGCACTATCTACATTCGAGACTGTAGCAAAGGTAGAATGAAGATTTTCTTCCGGTAAAATCACTAGGTGATGAAAGCACTAGATGAGAGGCATACCAAGGGTAAACAGATTTCATAAGGACTTCCTATCGGCTCCTGTGGAGATCGAATGATGGAGGGTAGAAAAACTTGGTTGTAGTTGAGGATCAGGTACTTTTGCTTGAAGCTTCCATTTTGCAGCTTTTGCTTATGCAAAAGCAATTTCAATAATAGTTCAAGAGTGTTTCACACTTCTTTATAGTGCTGTGTGAGTTAATAAAATGAGGTACTGTAGTTACCAATATAATCATGTTATAAGGACATATCGAAATCTGGAATGACTGTCCTTTTGGAGGGGAAAAATTAATCTTACGTCATCACAAGAGGAGATATTGAAGCCACAACGGACAAATAAGTCTTTTTCTTCTTTCTCAAGGTCTCCCAGTCCTTTCTGGCCATATTCTTTTCGTCTAGACAGTACTTTTCAGCCAAACAAGTTTCTGCTGCTTTATCACGCAGTAAGACCTACATTGGAACAGTAGAAGAATTTGTCTCAGACCCAGCGATGACTCTCTTTCTGTCTCTCTGTCCAACGTTTTCCCTCTCCTTGGTCGTTCGATCACTGTTTGCCTCATCACTGCTCGTAAATGCATCCGGCCTTCGACGTCGTTTTATAGCGCGTCTGATTAAACACACATAAGAGTTACGATCATTGCGGCCGACCAGAACACGACCTCAAATGGCACACTTACACCGATCGACAGCGAGAAGATTCTCACCAATTGTGAAGGTGAGGGAAGCAGGGAATGTCTACCGAGGGGTGAAGGGGTGTTGATATTTAGTTCCCACTTGAGTGATGTTGAGCTTAATACGTTGCCAATGTCAAAGTTCCCATTCCCGAGTGTATAGCTGACAGTAGCCGGACGGAGGTGATGTGTTAGCAGGCGGCGCACACTTTTGTGCTAATGATTCGAGGGTCGAGTCCCGCACTGATACCCTTCCCGAATATCCCAGCCTCTTATCCTTCTGACGTTAGGCATACGATCGGTAGCAGAATCGTTTCGAAGGATGAAAGCGCAGACTTGCACATCAGGTGGCCATCGCAATACATCGCATAGGCCACATACGTATTTAAACGCCACTAAGATTCTGAATGGAAGTGGAATGCGTGAGTACATCCCAAGTGGGATCGATCAGCGCCAAGAAGCTTTCAACCTTCGGCTTCATAGCTGACCCATTAAATCGTGCCAAACAAACCTCTTGGCAGCGCCATGAGTCTAAAATCTATTCAGAACTCCGGATATATTTGAATGGGTATTGGTTTTAACAAAATCATGAAGGGGCCCATTGTTTTTCCTTGGCTTTGAAGAGTCTAACTTGTGGATCTTTCACTATCACCCACCCATCGAATACATTAAAACTTATTTGTCATGTCATACCAGTTACTACTGTACACTTATCTATTTAACAATGGTTGTCCACTTACAACATCAAGTAACTCTGTAGGAATGAAAAATCCCTTTAAAGACGCGTAGCTCTTACAGTATCTATGCACCAGAAAACAAATTTGCCATCGTGAACGATATCAGCATTGGAGGGAGTCACTTCAAACAGCCTGCCTTCAGCCTATAGTTCAGAGCTCATAGCTACGGTGGCTTGACGTTCCTGTTTACTTCCAAGCTGTTACGGTAGTTCACAGCTTTGTTGATGGTTCATTAGAAAGCAGAGTGAGAGGGGCGGAATATGTGATGTATGAATTATAGCCACATGGTTACGGTAACATTAAAGGGCACCGCCCTATTCGGTGTGCTAGTCAATGAGGCATACAAACACATAGCAACGATCAATCTAATAAATGACACATCAACACTCTATTCATCTGAATGCTGCATCGTAGTATTTGAACACATGCATGTAGCTTCAAGTTTGTGTGTTGACAGATTTACTTGTTTTCTTTTTGGCTATTTAAAAATTTGAAAAATAAACAGTGATACTATCAAGAATTAAGAGGATTTACAGAGGTCATGTTCATAAATAAGAACGGAAAGACTGTAGAAAAGCCGAGCAGCGTCAAAGGATGAGCACTATTTTGATAGGCTCATACAGCCCACGTAACCCATTGAAAGAAAAAAGAGAATCGCAAAAAAATATATGGGGTGAAGGGTCCCTAACTTTTCGATAAAGTCGACTTTCGGTCACCCTTGGTTCGGACAGTTGCTCAACCGTATACGATAATATAAACCACTTTAGACCTCTGTCTCTCCCTTCTCCTGAGCCTCATTGCAGTGGCCAGTCGAGCTCGTCCCGAGCTTTTTACTTTAGAGTCAAAAGCATGGCGTATCAAGAGCTTTGGTGCAGGCATAGCGCTTCAACCTGTTACATACTAGGCCTACATATACAGTACTGGTTTTTTTAATCGAGTCTATCGCACTTTTGAAAGTTTCCTGACGTTTTTCAGATGGAGAGTTGACGACTATTTGGTGCGGAAACGTGAACTTCTGGCAGATTTGGCCGATTTCAAAGAAAATGAACGGTGAGTGAAGGTTTACCTGTTGTTATTTCCGCTAATTATAAATTCCCTTGAAACCTGAGTCAGACAATCACTGGGAAATGCGAGTGCACTCAAGAAAGGGGTTTTTATTGCAAATTTCTCATTCGCTGCAATCAGTGGGAAGTTGGGAAGGGAGAGGAGGATGGTGTGGTGGGGGACTACAGCAGTTGAAACATCTCGAACTACCGTATCATATCATATCACATCATATTACTAAATCGGTGGTTCAGCGAGTCATTCGCCTGGAAAATGGAATTTAGGATTTATACAATTCTATGGTCCCTCCCATAGTCTGATGAAAAGAGACCGTGAGCAGGGGCAAGTTACGGGTAAATGAGATAGCCAGGGAGTTGTAGCACATCAAGACAACTCGTTCAAGTCAGATCTCCCAACTAGATAATTGTATGATTGTTCCCGTACTGAATTCTCGTCTCCTCACCAAATAGTGTCGGGCTGTCGTTGCCGGTCGTCCGTGTATCAACAACGTTTGACTCCTTTCTTTGCCGGTCCTTTTCCTTCATGACGCTGGTGTCTCTCTTTCTCTTCTGAGCAGTTGGAGATGTCCTAATACGCTTCTTTTTGGTTTGTTGAAGTTTGTCGTAGACGAAGCTTTTTCTTCCACCCGGGCAGAGAGCGCTCGACAATAAATAAGGTGTTAGGTTTCCATACTTATTTTAATAGGAGTTACAAAGGATGGCAGCAGCTCAGGGTCATCGCAGGACTAGTATAGTGGCTATGGTTCATACAGTGAGTGGCTATGATTCATAGAGTAAATGAAAGTATGCGCAGTGACGGTAACATCGTTGAATCGAGGATTGACTTAGCAGAGTCTACCTCTACGCTAGAAGAGCACGGGATCATCAGCATTATTAGGTAGTGACGGGCAGAAAAAACATGGTTATCGTAGGATCTTCTCTTCATCTACATTAAGGAAAAATTCCTTGGGTGCCAACCACCGATAAAGTACTAAATATCGATGTAGCGCTGGTCGCTACGGTACCTTTGAATTGATCGGAAGAATTTTCGTGAAGACTGGTTTGTCTGAACAGTAGAGAAATAAGTTTACCCCAACCGGATCCGGATTAGAGATTAGTTACTTCTGGACTCCATAACAAGTGTAACAAACTTGGTTTGGGAACTGGGTTCGAGTTTTTCATTGAACTGGCACTTTTGTTCCACCTGTTCACCAATGGGAAGCTTTCAATGCATTTCCAGGTTTATCGAGGAGACGGCAAAGACGATCGATGAGTTGAATCGTGAAAAAGAGGAACATTCAGAAATTATTCAACAGATTAATCAGGTTCGATTGAATTTAGATTACATTGACGATGAGAAGAGCGAATTTCGAAATTATAGGAGATTCAAATACCGTCTTTAGTAATCGCTGGTTCTTTTCCGAAAAATTTTTTGCTCTTTTATTGCAGCACTTCCAGGCATGAACCAATCCTTCTAGTAGCTAAAGAGTTCTAGACTAAAACAGGGCCGAGCATAATAAATGCCTCCCTTTGTACCACCCACGTAATTTTCCTAGATAAGGGCCCACCTATCTCTTAGTGACTGATTCACCGAATACAGTTCAAACCAGAAAGTCCTAAATTCATGAGTAGTCCCACTGAAAGGACCCTGAATCCTCATTTCGGACGTCATGTTCGACCTCGGAACATGGCGTCTGAAATGTTTATTTCAAATATTTTGAATTTCAGGACAAATGTGATCTCGAAAAACAAATGGATGATGCCCGATTCGAACAACGTGAACGTGAAACACAATTGGCACGGAAATACGAAACTCTAATGAAGCTGATGGAGTCATCGAATGAGAAGATTCGTGAAAGTGGCTTGGGAGAGGAGTCTACAATACAACCCGATGACATTCCCCATGCTCGCATACCAAAGTGAGTATTGTGTGATTTTTTGATCAAATAGCTTCCTTATGAGAGATGGAGGGGACGGGTGGGTGTTGGCGGTAATGGGGTCTCAGGATTTTCAACGAGTGGCTTGTAGACAAGGTCTAGCCTTTCAAATAGAGGAATAGAACATTTTACATTTGTGGATTAGATTGTCATCAACTGGGAATTGAAACACTCTTTTACAGAAAAATAGTAAAATTCGCTATAACCTCCATGGCGACGATTGTAAGACCCTCTTGAGGATCATTTAAATCACTGACTGTAAGGTAGGTAGTGTGAAGGATAAAAAGCGCGGTGCCTGGAAAAGCATATGTAGGGGTTGAATCTCTGTTGTGGATTGAGCATTTTGTCCGCAATTCGTCCTTGTGGGATATTCGCATCGCAAAATTACGATTTTTTTTCTTCTGAAACTTAGCATAAGATGCAACGTGCTTATCATAGACGATCAGCTAGGACAGATACGTTAGTTGAGAATTTTCTTACCCTGGAACTTGTTTTGTCTTTTGCCATTTAATAAACAGCTTTACAGACTCCCAACACCTCCAGTTCCCTTGCCAACTCCTCAATGGAAAGGTCTGTCAGGCCTTATTCCACCGATGATGTCCTTGGATCAAATGATGATGGCCACACAATTCCGACCACCACAAGCTGTACCATCCCATTTGAAGACCACAGATCATCAGAGTCCACCGATGAAGGTGAGCGTAACTCATTTATTAAACGTGTATGAGGGTGACATCCCGTCTCAGTGAGTGACTGATAAAATGGGAAATACATATTTGTCAACTCAATTTTTATACCCGTAGAGTAGTGGTGTCACATCCAGACCATCCCCTGGCTTTTTTTAAAATGGGTCAAGACGCGCCATGGGCCAAGACGCGCCACACACGCGCTCCGCCTTGTTAAATGAGGGCCGTGCGCCTTCGTTACCGTGATAGGACTCCGCTCCTTTAAGCTGCAGAAGATGAAGGGTCTCGAAATGGCTAGCTGACNNNNTCGTATGCTCCTATTTTCAAAGTTGTCCGAAATGGCACATCTTGACCCACGACTTACTATTTTCAAAATAATTGCATGTGAAATTAGGGATTTGTTGATTAAAATCCATTTTCAGACGTGTCAATCATGCTTCCAACAAATCCATCGTAACGCGCCAATTTGTCCAATGTGCAAAAGTAAATCACGAAGCAAGAACCCAAAGAAACCAAAGAAAAAGGACTAATCACGAATGTATATACCATGATCGATTTATTGATTGGCTCCTTGCATAAAGGTTTCCAACCTATGAAATCGGAATGATTGAAGTATTCATTGAAACGAAGGGAAATAGGTGAACGGAACATTGTGCAGATTTCGTAGAATACAGTCATGGAAAGAGGTGTGATCCAGTCGTCAAGCGAATCCTTCACGTATGCGGAGCACTCAGATTTATTGTAGGCAAATAGGTACTGTCTATGATTTCCATCTGTTTTTTCATCAATCAACTACCGAGTGCCTTGAGGGTGTTGCCTCTACAGAAGTTGTACTTGCCAACTTTCTCTTGCAGTAATGACCAGTTAGGGGGAGAGCTCCTGATACCGTAGACGGCTTAAACCTGTAATAATATGGTTCACTGGCATCGTGTCTTTATCCTTTTCATCGGATCTCGTTCGCCTTCTTCAAGTATTTCTAACCTAATACTAGGATATGGTGGATGGTTCAGTGATAACATACCTACGAAAACGAAAAGGGGTTTTCATCACTTAAATAGGGTCAGTAATGCCGGGTATATGTACTCGCTCTATCTCGATCTTTACTCGCTTCTGTTATTTCTTCAGCATGTGTGTTGGTAGTGCCATCTATAGGAGAAGCTCTACCCAGTTTAGTTTTCGGATAGGCTTCAGGTAGACAACCAGGGATCATAGCTTATACAGTATGCAGTAAATATGGATGTAATAGCGTGCCAAAAAACCAACCTTCCAAGGCTTCTCCGCAGCTGAGCGGTGTAGAATATCTTGGAATAATGCCGCAATATCCAACCATGCTCTGGAAACCAAATACCAAGTTTGCCCTGACCAACCACACCTTCCATTCTCCCGGTATGGTTTGATTGGTACCAGACT